GAAAAAAATATAACCTTTTTTTTCTCCTGTAAAAAAATGCAACCTTGATGGTCCTGATGGTTTCCAACCTTACTGGCATGACAAGCAGGTCCCACCTGAGATGTTTTCTTCGCCCTACAGACGAGGGGGTGCCACATGATTGGGGAGATGCTTTTTCCTTCAGTGGAACAATGAAGCTTCAGGAGGGGCAGGGATGTCAAAAGGCTGCTGGCTATGTCCAGATGTTGCAGAGAGCATCCCTCATGACTGAGGGCCCTCATCTGTGTGGTAATGACTGGGTTTTTCAACAGGACAACGCTACAGTACACAATGCCAATAGGACAAGGGACTTCTTCCAGGAAAATAACATCACTCTTTTGGATCATCCTGTATCTTTCCCTGATCTAAATCCAACTGAGAATGGACAACAGTTCCAGACAGTAGATGCCCTTTGTGTGGCCGTCTTCACCACTTGGAGAAATGTTCCCACTCGCCTCATGGAAACGCTTGCATGAAGTGATCAACAAGAACAGCGGACCAATTAATTACTGAGTTCAAGTTTGGAACTTTCTGTTTTGGGGGTTTACCCATGTTTTTTGGAGGTGTGGTCCTAAACTTTTGATCAGCTGTAAAACAGCAGGTTTCAGTTTAAGCTTTCATTTTAATAAATTACATGCTCAAAAAATGTTTTGCCTCACTCCTATTTCTTCTTGTTGCATGTTGAAGCTCTACTTGGAACCTTGTTAAGATCCAACCATGCAAAATATGATTTTTTGCCATTTTTCAAATGGTCTAAAACTTTTGATCAGGACTGTACAACCTAAAAATAACAGCAATTTGTTTTCTTCAGCCTTTCTTCACATACATCAAAGTGGCCCAACAAGTGCAGTTTGTGTTCAGACAAGTTTTAAGCAATAAAAAAAGTAGCTTATATGTAACTTCCTTTATTTGTTGATGAAAAGAAACAAACTGAAATGAAGTTATCATGATGCATTAGGAAAAAAATTATATTTTTCGATGCAAAATGTCTGTAGTTTTCTAATAAAATCTCTGTTACTGAGCCTCACAGGTCCTTTTCTTCTGCTGCTGCAGCAGTGGCTTCGCACATGCGCGATTCATTTGCAGTCTGGATGCAGTGGGGTAAAAATCATCTGTTCCATCTTCCACTCTGTCACCAGTTATGAGAGGCAACAGCCACTGATTTGGATCACCACCATGAAAAACAGATTGCGTCATTAAACAGTATCTACAGAAATGTTGTGTATGACTAAAGCAGAAGCCACCAGTACAATGTAAGCCCAAATTACCTACAGCATGCAAAACATGGTTCCTCTAAAGTTTTATCTATTTATTTCAATAACCTAAATGATTAACAACTTCAAAGGCATCTTGGTATAGCAATAGTTTGAAACATAATGGTTTTTGGTAAGAAAAAAAAATGCTACTTTTGAATATCTTACCATCACTAATGTCACACAGTACATCTGAAGAAGACTCAGCTGATTGCTCACCTGTTACACATATCTGGATCCCTTGACCGCCTCACAAAGCTTGGAAATACCCTCATCAGATAGTGTTGTTTCAGTTTTAAGTCCCAGTCGTTGTGTCCTTGGGCAAGACACTTCACCCGTTGCCTACTGGTGGTGGTCAGAGGGCCCGGTGGCGCCAGTGTCCGGCAGCCTCGCCTCTGTCAGTGCGCCCCAGGGTGGCTGTTGCTACAATGTAGCTGCCATCACCAGTGTGTGAATGTGTGTGTGAATGGGTGTGTGAATGGGTGGATGACTGGTTGTGTAAAGCGCTTTGGGGTCCTTAGGGACTAGTAAAACGCTATACAAATACAGGCCATTTACCATTTATGTGTAGTGAGGTTATTCAGAGTATATGACTGACCCAACTCATATTTTTTTTTAAATTTCCTCTACAATGGTCAGGATGGCAGAAGCAGGTCGCAATGAAATACATAACCCCTCAGTGACTTCACTGACTTGCCACAGAAATCAAAAACGAGCATTGTCTTTAACTGCTCCTGGTAAATTAAAGCTAGCTAAAATCTTCAACCTGCTGCATTACTGAAGGCGAAGCCTGTGACAGAGGAATGCTTTCAATCAACAAGAAAACTGACTAAGCGAACTATGGTTACAGCTGATATACGTTTCAAGTCTAATGATATACTTACATTGAAAGAGAAGGTTGTTGGTTCGGCGCAGGGTGCTGCTGGGCTCCCTTGCTGAGCAGGAGTCAGTCTGGCCCTTTAGAAGTGGCGCTATCTTCCTCTTTGTTGGTTTGGTGGACTACACGCTTACAAGGAGTATTGGTGCCCTCTGCTGTTGCAGTACCTCACAGTCAGACAGCTATTTCTGACAACATAGTACCCTCCTCGTCTAAGTTTTTTATAGATAGATAGATAGATAGATAGATAGACAGATAGATAGATAGATAGATAGATAGATAGATAGATAGATGACGGTTTAGACACGGGATGCATTGTCTCCCAAACGTGCATGGACTTTAAGGAAACTAATTGTTACAGCTTTTATAATACATTCGTTGACTGCTCTTGACCTTGCAAACTACGCCAATTTATTAACATTATTTCATTACTTTTTTGTATTTCATTTTGATCAATTAATTCTAATTTCAGCAGGTGGTATCACACTCAAACAGATTGAACACAGACTGAACAGTGGTAAATCCATGATTTAAACCTCCCTATACCACAAAAAAAAAAATCATTGTAAATAGCTGTGTTATACTTGGTGAGACTCTAGAACTTAAAGAAATATACATATTTTTTTATTAGTAGTAATTGTTTGTATGTACTGTTAACATATACTGTTTTATCAAACAGCCTGAGCTTGTTAATATTAAAAACATTTTACTGTAATTTTCACAATAATTCTAACAATGTTTTGACATTTTGTTAAAATTAAAAGTACGCTATGTGTTAGGTAATTAATATAGAGTTGTAAATCGTAAATTCAAATGAAAAAAGCAGGAAAGATTGTCATTCATAGAGTTATTATGTAAATTGTAGGGTGATTAATTGTAAATAATGTTACAGATTTTCCCTGTTGTTTTCAAAGACAATGTGCCATATCACAGTACATTTATATATTTTTAACTTTTTAGCAGTGTAAAAATAAAAGCAAATCACCATTTTTCAATTTACAGAAATGTAATGTCCATATTACAATCAATTACTCTTTTTGATTTAATGGTAATTTACCGTTGCCATTTTACAGTTATCAACTGTAATTTTATGTACATTTCTTACAGTGTGGGGTGGGGCTATCCCAGCTGTCTTAAGGCGAGATGCAGTGCTAACAAATAGACACAGACAACCATTCACACTCACACCTAATTTTGAGTTTCCAATTAACCTAACCCCACTAACTGCATGTCTTGGGACTGTGGAAGGAAGCCGGAATACCCGGAGAAGACCCTCATAAACACAGGGAGAACATGCAAACTCCACACAGAAAGACCCCGGCCTGATGTTGGAATTGAAGTCAGGACAATCTAGCTGTGAGGCAACAGTGCTAACCAAATTTCATGAAAAATATTAGCTCATTTTGAATTTGATGGCAGCAACAAGTCTCAAGAAATTTGGGACAGGGCCATATTCACTACTGTGTAGCATTCCCTTTCTATAAACATCTGAAAACAGAGTTTTCAAAACCATCAAAAGCAAGAAAACACATAAGTTAGCTACTAAACAATGGAGTAAGTTAAGAAGGTTAAATGATCAAACTTTTCACAGAGTAAGCGTAAACACACACATCCACCTAACAGCATGCAAAGCAAAACGTTCCTCTGGCACGGGAATGCTTTTCTCCTTGGACTTAAGTACTCCGGCCTAATTGCTAAATAGAATCAGCTGTAAAGAAGGGCAGCGTCTAAGACTGGAAAGACAGCAAGACCACACCCACTGGGTCAAATTCACAGAGGCCCTTATATGGCCCTAATAATCTCCCTTTATCCTAGTCATGACACGAAATCTATATTCCTAATTTATCACTTAATTTATCACTTGATCACTTAATGTGGGTATTGTTATGTGAATTTTGCAAAGAACTGTAGCTGGTCAGATATTGAGAAAGAGTTGCTGGAAAAACATGCTACTACTTTTCCATGTTTTCTTGCATCTGTTTTTGTTATATGTCCTCTCTGTCTTTCTTTGTGTTTTAGTCTACCACTGATCCTTCAGAAAGCAGAATAATCCTGGAGGAGGTGACCCAGTGACCATTACCCTGCAATAACCCCCAACACACACATACACAAAGCAGATACAGGCTGGCCTCACCCAGATGTTGCAGTGGGATTTAATGCACCAAAAGTACTGTTATTCTTTGCTGCCACTCTGATTCTGGTTGGTTTGCTGACCTGCTGTTTGTATGTGCCAACAGTTATTGTGAGAATCAAGACCAATGTTCCGCTTACGAGGACATTAAAGATAAAGGATCATTTTGTTGAGCTTCACATCGTGACAAACCTGCCGCTTGTCACGGCTATTTGAGGCTTTGGGCTCTGTCTTAGGCTTTGATTTGGAATTAAGGGAAGATTAAGATAAAGGGCAGGGTAATGCATTATGCCACAAAGGGTTCTCACAAAGACAGCTATACAAACATGTGTGATTATACTGTGTGTGTGTGTGTGTGGGGGGGGGGGGGGGGGGGGGGCTAAAAGCAGTGAAGAGTTAAGAAGCTTTGTGATTTGATGACTTACTTAAAGTGAATGACAGAGTGAGTTGATGAGGATGGCTTAAGAATACAACGAGAAAGCGGGAACTAGAATAAAAATGGACATGGGAACACTGACAGGGTTAGCGATAAAAACTTCAAGCTGATAACGAAATGTTTTTTAAAATATTACAAAAATCAGCAAACAGGGAAGAGAGAAGGGGGAGCAGGAGACAGCGCAAGGGAGTGAGAGAGGGAGATTGGTGGTTGGTGGATTAAGTCGGGTCAGAGAGGATTAGTGTCAGTTCAGGTTTGGTAGTAAACTCACATTCATGTTGTTGGCGTTGACTGCTTCTGACACACTCGCCCTACTGGTTCCTTTCAACTGAGAAATCCCACACTGAACAATTGGACCACAGGAAGGGAATGTGAGTTTACCTTTTTTGACATTTCTGACTCTTGTAGTGCAATTGATTAAAAAAAATCAGACTAAGCATATACAGCCTTCCTGCTTGCTCTATGGGGCTTTACTTACAGTTGTCCTTTTAGCTGAGTGCTTATTTGCTCACTGTACTTTTTATATGCCTTTTTGTGTTTGCTTAGTAGCACAGCATTTGAAATACCAAGAACTTGAATGGATGAGGGATGAAGGATTTACGTACATACAGAATAATCACAAAGAAATACTAATAAATGCTGCCATCCACTATCGGACCCTCCTGGCGATAATGTAGACACAATAAAATATTGCATATTTTATATACAATCGCATAGCAACAAAGTTCTCCCTGGTGTATATAGGTCTGGATTCAATTTATTTTTTAAATGATAATATGTATCTTACATGATTGATAAGCGACACCAACAGAAATAGTCCAAAAGAAGTTCCGTGAAACTGTGTAACGAGTTTCACAGAACCCAAGGTTTCATGACTAATGGAAGCTCTTCCCGGACAGTGTAAGTGGAAACGGAAGTTGAGCCGAGGTAAGCAGCTGAAGAATAGCCGTAACCTGAAATTAGTCCACATTTAGTAACCTGACGCTGTAACAGGAAGTTCTAAAGTAGTATAAGCTGCATTTAAAACATTCACTTCATTCATTGTTTCCCTCTCTGCTGTTCAAAGGAACATAATTTTTAAACATTGCTCTGCAATTTTGATCATTTGTTGTTCTTTTTTTAAAAATAAATTTTAACATTAACATTTTATTTGTAATCTCTGTATTTATTCAAAGTAACCCCTAATAACGACCAAAACTACACAATAAAAATAAATAAAAATAATCACAGCATGATTTAAGTTTATTATTTGGACACCATTTGAGGTAGAATGTGTATTATAACATGGTATAAAGATACACCTATTTTCTACAGCCATAACATTTAATCATAATAGTAAGACTTTGCTATGATCTCTCAAAAGTTACAGACTCTTAACTTTGAAGTACAATTAACTTAAAAACGACTCATTTTATCCAGCTGCAGTCAAATTGTTCAGGGCATCAAAATCTGTTTGTTGAATTAAAATCATGGTTATCAGCCATAACTTCCAAACTCTGAAGATTATATCCATACCAAGTAAAAATTTTGAGTATTTTCATGCCTTGAAAACACGAACATCAACCTGATATTCTGCCTAAGGTGAAATGCTTTTGGAATGAAAACGTAAATGTGTCATCTTTCTTTGTCTGTTGTAATAAAACAAGATGATAGTCACACACAACATGAATGTTTAATAATGACATGGGTACTAACTAAAGATTGTTAAATTATCTAGATTTGTTTCATTTTTAATATGTAAAACATGAGGTTGTTACATAAATCTGTTTTTTATTTCTTTCTCCATATCTTTTCAGTGGAATAACCCTTTCATTCTCTTCTGAACAATTACCATGAAACAAGCTATGGAGGATGGTGAGAAGCACATACACGTATACAGACAAATTCAGTAGACTTGAATTCACCTGTCTCAGTCATGAGTAGGTGCTTACTTGAAAATACTTATTATAAAAGAAGGGTCAGGGCTTCTCTATAATGTTAATCCTGTCTGGTTCTGTTGGCTTTTCACCTTCTGCTCAGGAGAAATGTGAAACCTCAAACATCTGCTGTGATATTAAAGGCAACATTCATTGGAATCTGTCAGTCACAGTGTAATTAATCATGCAGTACCCCAGTTTTAATGCCCCAATTCTAATTATTTCTGACAATACCAAGTGAAAGATAAAGAGACAGTTAAGCAAACACTGGAACAATGCAGTAATCAAACCAAATTTGGACAATATGAGAGCACTTTTATTTTTCAATTACTAAAAAACTTTCTCCACTGATATTATTGTACCAATGTGAAATAAAGTAATATGGAAATGTGGTTTTACTCTAAGCACTTGAACCACATTTTAATGTCAACATTTCAGACAATGCAAATTTGTTCCCCAAGCTAACCAACTTGAATTAGCTACGTATGGATCACTTCAGCATCTGTACTGGATAGCAGTGTCTCCAGTTTGTTAAAGCAAATATTTGATTTGTACAATTATTTATCTTCTGTGCTACCTTGACTACACTCTAAAGCCTCACTCTATCTGCCTTAGTGCAGCTGCCGTACCATACTGTGATATATGTCTGCAGGCTCTCAATGAACGAGTGGTAGAAGGTCAGCAGCTGGTTGGAGTCCAGTTTGCACTTCCTGAACTGCTGCATAGGCATAAGTGCCATATGATTGTGTGTGTAATTTGATGAATTAGTTGCAAGTGCTTTGAGCGCTCAGCTGTGTAGAAAGGTGGTGCATAACTACCAGTCCATTTACCAAGAATTCCCTGTGTCTTCCCTAATTCCCTATGTCATCATTTGTTTTTCTCTTTTTTAAATTATGCACATGTGTTCAGGTGTCAGTGTGGTACTGTCCAGTGTGGTGAAGGATGTTGACCAAGCTGTTAGCAGGAACATTAATGGTGCTCAGCTTCTGCATGAACTACTGAGTGCACCGTGGCTTTGTGCCCTGCTGAAGGTACATGATTCAAAGGTCCTGGAGTAAAAGACACACACCTACCATCTGTCTGCAAACTAAAAGTGATCATTTGGTGCTTTGTCTCCAGATTTATGAGTGCCTGTTAAAGTTCCAGAGACTGACACCAAGCCCCGTTTTGCCTTATGCTGCAGGACTCTCACATGAGGTGTGTATATATACAACACAACAAACAAGCAGCCATAGACGAAATGTTTAGATCCCTAAATATCAGTCATTAGTGTTCTGTAAAATATCACTTTATCACAGCTGATTCAATTGGAATTTTAATCCTGCATCTTGCAAAAGGTAACAAAATTAAAACTAAGTAAGCCTGATAGTGTAATCAATACAGAAACCAACGAGAACATGTCTGCTTTCTGTAAATAATACAAAGCACAACAGGAGACACCCTCTCTACGTTTACATTTAGATTTAAACCTTTCCTTTTTGAAAAAGTTTATAGAGGATGTGGATCAAGTGACCAGATGACTGTGATAAGTCATTTTAACCTCCTAGGACCTGGCGTCCACATATTAGGACATCACACTTTGAGTTATTTAGACCAAAATACTCAATTTTGCTCTACAAGGGCCTGATATCCACTTACGAGGACATTATGCTGTTACTGTTCTATCGAAATTTTAAATGAATATCCTCATATGTGGCTCTCATTTTTCTTAGAAACAAAAATAGGGTAAAATTAAGATGGGTTAAAATGAGGGTTAAAATGCATGCTCTGGAAGAGTTCGGGTCGTAGGTGTTTAAAGTCATTAAAATTATGTCTGGATCTTGTGGTAATATTTCCATAGAAATAAGTGTTTTTAGGTCTGTCTTGCCAGTATAATATAATTTAACATCTAATTCAGGAATCTTCTTAATTTTCCATTAGGTCATAAATGCAATACTGACAGCTCAAAAGCCTTCAGCTCCAGCTAGAGAGTTGTGCAGCCTCCTGAGTTCACCTCATATCCAGGTACATATATATATATATATATATATATATATATATATATATTCGTTATATATATTCATTTTAGAATCCATGCCTTTCTTAACTTAGAACTTATATTTGAAGTTTCTGGTTACCCATTACTGATTATCTATCTCTCTGTATATCAGGCTCTCTTGTCATCTCATGACAGTGTTGCACAGTCAGACTATGAGCCTGTCTTACCCCCTCTGCCTGATGAAATACCAGAAGATGAGGAGGCAATGAGGATTGTGTGTCTTGTAAAGAACAACCAGCCTCTGGTAAGACATAAGCATTTTTCTCATAAATGTAAACTTTTGCTCAGAAATACAGTTTCGTTTGCAGTTCTTGAGTTTACACAAAGGGCCTTATGTATATATTTCCTATGAGTATATATTCCTTTTTAAATTGTAAAAGGAGTAAAAGGAGTTAAAAATCCTGGTAGCTTTAGTGCAATCAGTCACCCATGTCAGGAATCCGTAGCAGGCAGAGGTGTACATTTGTCTTTTCTCTTTTCAATTATAACTACTCAGAATAATTTGACCAAAAGGTCCTTTGAGAGTATGTGAATGAGTTGATGAATGAATCATTCAAGACCAGTGTTTCATCCAACAATAATTTTTTGATGACTTATTACTAGTATTTTTTTTAACTGTCAGCTATAGAAACCTATAAATATACATAAATGTGTTTTTGTCATTTTTTGTCCTTGTTTTTTGTTTTACATAAGTTAAGGTAGCTTAGCTTTCTATTTACATGGCGTTATTAGTCTCAATATCTATGTCGTCCAAAACTCTCTGAAAGAAAAATGACAAAAAACATTGCTTATAAGCACAATCCAGAGAGTGATTACATTTTCAAACAAACCAAACAAATTAGTAATATATTCCTGGAAGATAGGGATGCAGAAATGATCACTTTTGTTAAACAGAATCTATGAAGTCAACAAGATGGCTTGTTGACTTCATAGATTCGAAGACAAATCTGAAGGTAGCCTTGCAGGGTGCCCTCAGATTAGTCATAAAGTAGTTAAGACTTAAATTGCTTAACTATAAATTACATTATGTTAACTTTAAAATGTTCTATTAAACCCTAAAAACTCAAAGTTTCTCATCTTTCATTCATTAAGAGTGGAGAAGAGTGTAGAAGGAGTGTAGGAGAAATTCACAGCCGCTGGAGCAGCCTGCACCGCTTTACATTGGAACGCCTCATCCCTGCAAGAAGAGCTCAGTCAGGGGAGGAGCTCAGCGTGCCCAAAAGTGAAGCAAAGCTTCCCCTTGTTCATAAAGACGGCAGGTCCCATCCCTTTCTCCCTCGCTATGAATCCACAGGAAGTTGCTATTTGTGTTCGCCAACTGTAAAACTTGGGAACAAAGGACTCAATCAGTCAGCTCCCTCTGTTTTGAACCCTGCTACCTGCACTGGTAAGAGGAGGAAGAACAGATGATGACAGTCCATACAGTCACCAATCATCTGACCATTTTCATTTGATCATTCTTTGTCTGTATTTAAGCCATCGAATATAAAAAACAATGGCAACATATCATAGAAACGCAGGCCATCCATCAGTACCTTCACTAATCATAATCGAGGATTCATTCCTTCTTGTATCTAATCATTCTAGTATTTGCTACTTTCTGGGCAAATATTTTCATATGTCTAGCAATGGCAATGAAAGGCAACAACCACTTCATCTATCTTGGTGTCATTCCTCGGTGCAACCAAGTGTTCATTTCTTCATGAACCTGCCATCATCTGGCAGTCTATAAGTCTTTTGGGCTTTCCTCCCATTACATTTCTTTTCAGACATAGTTTGCTAATGTCTTTCTGTTCTCTTGAACTGCAAATTTATTTGGTGGTTCATTTTCAGAGGAACTCAAACCCAATGGGAAAGATGGTGCTTCAACCAGAGAGAGCAGTGATGACTACTCATACCCACCTCCTCCAGTCCCAGCTTACAGTTTTAGCCTTCCCAACTCTCCTGTGTTGTACAAAAAAAATTCTACAGGAGGACAGTCAAAAAATATCCCCACACCTGGAAGGACCTTCTCTTGTCGTGGCATGAACCCTCTTAGATCTCGCACTGCTCCTTCTAGTCCTGCAGCTAGAAGGAGTACTCAGGAACAAGGGGTCAGCACTATCTCCAGAAGAGATGGTTGTCAAACCACTCAAACTAGACCTCATAACACACATCAGGAAGAGTCTTTACATCATCCATTAATGTTCCACTACGCTACAGCTCCTCGTCACAATGAATGCCAGAACATATCAAAACGTAAACAAAATGCGCAGCAGCAACAATCAAGACACCATAATCAGCCTACTGAACTCAAGAAACAGTGCAGTGTGGAAGAGCTTAGGTCCACTGTTCAGATGGTGGCCAGCAGTATTGAACACAATAGTCAGGATGTACGCCAACTTGGTGAGAGGATGGTGGCAGCATCAGAGATGATCACAGACAGCGTGGAAGAGAACGCCCAGGCACTTAACCTGCTTGCCGAGGTGGTGGACAAGCTTCAGGGGCTAATCGTAACCAAAAAACACCTCGAGTCATCTCCTCTACAGAGAAAGACACAAAAATATCCACCCTCACCTCCTCCAAGGGTCTCCTCATTATCGCCAAAACTTGTCCGCAAATCTCCAATACCATACCCAGGCCCACTCTCACCATCCTCTTCCACTACTTTCTCCTCTTCTTCATCCACAAGTTCTTGTGCAGATGACTTTACAACATCTAGGAGTCCAACACAAATTAATGGTGGATCCAAAGGGATGGTGGCAGCTCCTCAGAGGGCAGGTAGGGGTGGTAATAATGGACAAGTGAGGTTCAACACTGGAACCGTTTCAAGAGCTCCTCTGGAGGACCAACAAGACTGTAAGAGTACAGGCTGCTTAAAAACAAAGAAGAAGAAAAAGAAAGAGTAACTAGACTAAAAACAAACCTTTTCATCTCTTTCCTGCATTTGTACTGGAAAAACTGTGACAGTGACAAAAAATACCTAATATTTTAGTCTAAAAAGAAATATCAGCTACAACAACATATGGACTTTTTTTTTTAATTTGAAGACTTTTTCGATTTTTCAAACGATCACTCAAAAGAACAAAAGCAAACAATATAAAGGTACAAAGCAATTTCTTTCTGTCTTGTTTTCTTCATCTAGTCCAACTATTCTTAGAAAGTATGACAGCTTTCATTTTTTTCATCAGCTCTGATTTATTATTTTGGGTTCTTGACTATGATGGTCTGAATATACATTGAGCAAAAAAGGAGGAAAGTGTTTAGGGTTAAATTTATTTTTAATAATATTTGCTATGGACTATTTTGTACATGTTGAACTGCATTCATCTTGACTTATTGTTTGTACATTTATGTGGTATCTATTGCACATCAAATACAGCAATAAAACCCTGTGGAAACACCTAAGAAGTTTTACATTATTCCACGTATAGAAACATCAAAATTAATTTTCATGTTTTAGCGCCTTGTTGGAGCTTATGCAATTTGCATTTTTTAAATAATTTAGCATTTTCATTTCCCAAAACTATGGTAGCAAATTTGCAGAACTACTAAAGTTATCCTTAATTTTCATGAGCCCCTGCTACCAGTTTGCTTCTAGCAATGGCCTGTAGTGGACATGGTATTGTGTTGATAGTGTTTACCTTTAGAGTCCCCATGATATTTTGATGTAATGCAAAATGTAATGAGTTAATATCAAATGCCCAAGCATTAAAATATAAAGAAAAAAACCCTTTAGTTATCTATTTAAGTTTGATCTACCACCAGCACTAAACTGTGTGGTTTTGAGTTGAATGTATGTTCAGCTGCTGGGTGTATTATGTTAGTGTGTATATTAATATTCCTCAAAAAATGGCACAAAAATGGCCTTATAAAAAAAATAATAATAATAACTGCCGTACAAGAAGAGCTTTTACTTAATTTGCTGATTTTTTAATGAGGATCTCATGAAGAGAAAATGTGTTTAGTATTTATTATTTACTTTTAAAATTGTGTACTTTTAAAAATTAATTTAGTCAAAATTTTCCATTTGCTAATCTTAGAAGACATTTTGCCTTTGCCTTAAGATCTCTTGTCACTATTTTTGCTTGCTTTTTACTTTGTTGTTAAATTTTGAACAACTCTCTATCTGTTAGGGTGCAACTATAAGAAAGGATGAGGCGACGGGGGATATCTATATTGCCCGGGTGATTCATGGAGGATTGGCTGACCGCAGTGGTATACAAGTATTTTAAGTGTGTGTGTGTGTGTGTGTGTGTGTGTGTGTGTGTGTGTGTGTGTGTTACATGTTTAGACAGCTTTGTGAGGACAGAAAATCGGCATGCCACTATACTTATACAGTCGCTTATAACAAAATTTTTGCTTATGTCTGTGTGTGAGAGATGAAAACATCACGCCTAGCAATAATATGTCTTAATAAATATGGGTTTTTGCCTGTATCAGGACTTCTACATCCTGGAGACCTATTAGTGGAGGTAAATGGAAACCCAGTGGTGGGCCTGGAACCAGAACAGGTCATCCATATACTGGTATGTTATCAGCATCTGCTAAAAATAAGAAAAACATTTTAAAAAGAAAATACTATTATCAATGCTATTGTATAAATTTTAGAAATATTATAGGCAGTTTTTACCACCTCAATTCAAAAGCCATTCAAAGTAAAAAAAAAAAAAGAAAAGAAAAGAAAAAAAAGAAAACGAAAATGTTAAACACAAGCTTTATAGCTTTATAGTATTAATAATATGTATAAATGATAGTATGACAACATGCTTGCTGAAAGTGTGTACATTTGATTATTAAAAATAATTATCACCATGTTTACTTCTTGTGTATGACTTTCCCTGTCAGGCCGATTCCCAAGGCACTATCCTGTTTAAAGTCATTCCAAATCCATCTCAGGCCATCCTCAGCCAGACACCAGTAAGAAACACACACTTTATCACTTTACCTCCAGTATCACTTTAGTAAAAGCACATTTTGTTGACATTAAACTTACTTATAAGCAGGAAAATCCCTGTACAATTACTGACATGATTCACTGATTGTTATTTTCCAGGCTGGTGTTCCAGGTTTAAAAACATGATTTCCCTCAGTACATCTGTGAATGTTTCACTTTTTGATTAATTTATTTTTTAATCTGCAAAAAAACAAAGTTTATCTGTCTGTCTTCCAGGTATGTATGAGGGCAATGGTAGACTACTGCCCTCTGCAGGATTTTTCCATCCCATGTCCAGATGCAGGAATGGCATTCAGCAGAGGAGACCTTCTTCAGGTGGTTGACCAGTCAGATGGACAGTGGTGGCAAGCCAGGAAACTGCCCTGTGCTACATCCTGCGCTGGTCTGATTCCCTCTGCCAGCATGCTGAAGAGGTGAGACGCACTCACATACTGTGAAGATGTGACGAACCTACAGGCCGCAGCCAGAGGAAGCGGTTAGTTTACAGATCTGACATTATGAGAGTAAGAAAACATTTATAACATAATTCTAAGTAACTTTTATTACATAACTTTTTAGTACACTTTTATTCTGCACATTTAACTGATGGCAAAGCCGTAACACTGTTAGGTAAAGTTAGCTTATAATAATGTCAGAAAGAATATATTTTTGCAGTTTGGCTCCATGATTTTAGCTTAAGACTCTAATACATTGGTTGCATTTAACAATGTATTTCTCTTTCTACAGTAAACAGAGGGAAAAATGGTGGTGTCAGCCTTTACAGGTTCATACCTGCATCAGACCACGTGAGGAATCATGGTTGTTATTATTAAACGTGTGCTTATTTAATGGTTTATATATTATATGTACATTTATTGCAGAGTTGTTTGTAACTTGGATATTTCTCAGTAATGCCTAAAGTTTTACAAACCAGTGTGATTACATGAAGCACTTTTAATGTATTTTTTAGTCTTTAAAATATTTGAAAGATAAGTCAGTCACTACAAAAATAATATGTTATTTTATGTCGGTGTGTGCATAAACGTTTTTTTTTTTCTCACCTGTGTGTAAATCTCTACCTGCTGTGACATAAAATGAGCAATGCTTTTAACGGCTGCTTATTTTTTCTGTTAACCCTGCTGCCCTCAGTGACCCTGACTGCTAACGGTGGGTGTGACATGTAAAACATCATCCATAATAGTAATTTAATGTCATAGTTTAGTTCATTTTATTTTTCTGAGTGTGCTTGTTTGTTAGCTTGTTTTGATGACACCTTTTTTAATTATTATTCAGCACTAATTACTGTTATCTGCACTAACCTGTCAGTTCATTCCTAACACAGAGAGGTGTCGCTTAGGCTAATAATAAACCACCAATAACAAAAACAAGAAACCACAGAAGACTTTTTTTTTTTAATCATTGAATAAAACTATAATAATTGAGGTCTCTGAGACTATTAACAGAAACAATAATCTATACTACTAGTATACAATATCTCCCAAACATCACTTGCTCATCATGTTAGGGAATATCTTGTAGTCAAAACCAGCTATCCATGCACGCATACTTATCCAGAGTCAATCACAGCTTTCATAGGATGAGAATTCTATGAGAAATCTATCCACAGGTCACCAATCTACCAAAGAGAGAAAAACAACCATTCGCACACATGAATCACCAATTGAACTACAGTGTTAATTAAGCTGCTTCTGCAGGTGCTTATTTCATCTTCTCAGAGATCTCAAAGGGAGAAACAAGAGCTAAGATCGTGCCAGGCTGCTCCTTTCACAGTAACTGAAGTGTGTTATGTTGTGTTACAGTCTGTCACATTAACACTTTCAACCAAACATAGTTTTTTGTGCCTTTCAACCGTACAGTATGTTGTCTTTGTTGGTGTATTTAAACCCAGCTACATGTATGTGAAAATAAGCTTTAACTAACTTTTCTGTTATTTTGTTCCAGAGGAAAATCCTGCAAATTCTGATGAGAAACATGCAATAACAGGTGAACATAATAAATACATATTCATATATATTTTAAATATTTAGTTTTTATATACGAAAGCTATGCATTATTCAACTACCCATTGAATGTCACTATTTTTTTTTCAGATCTGGAGGAAATAAATTTTGGTAGGTAAGTCTGTCCAGTGATGAATGTGTAAAAAGTGCAACCTTTTGATTGCATGACACTCATTGCTGTTCCTTTCTATTTCTTAGTGGGGGGTTTTCTCATATTTTTGTCTATTAAGTTTCTCATCAATACTTTAGAGTGACAGAGAACCAAACAACAAATTCTTTACACATGAATAAAAAAAACTAATCGCAAATTATCATAAAAACAATGATGCAGAAAACTGTTGTGCCTCATGTGAACAGTGCTAGTTTAAAAGATAAATTATTTAAAACAAACAAACAAAAAAATATATGTATTATATAAAAAAAAAATTCCCCACTCGCCCCTGTGGGCAGTCTATCCTTCAAGCTCGGGTCCTCTACCAGAGACCTGGGAGCTTGAGGGTCTTGCGCAGTATCTTAGCTGTTCCTAGGACTGCGCTCTTCTGGACAGAGATCTCCGATGTTGTTCCCGGGATCTGCTGGAGCCACTCGCCTAGCTTGGGAGTCACTGCACCTAGTGCTCCAATTACCACTGGGACCACCGTCACCTTCACCCTCCACATCTTCTCGAGCTCTTCTCTGAGCCCTTGGTATTTCTCGAGCTTATCGTGTTCCTTCTTCCTGATGTTGCTGTCATTCGGAACCGCTACATCGATCACTACGGCCGTCTTCTCATGTTTGTCTACCACCACTATGTCCGGTTGGTTAGCCACAACCATTTTGTCCGTCTGTATCTGGAAGTCCCACAGGATCTTAGCTCGGTCATTCTCCATCACCCTTGGGGGAATCTCCCATTTTGACCCCGGGACTTCCAGGTTATACTCGGCACAGATGTTCCTGTACACTATGCCGGCCACTGGGTTATGGCGTTCCATGTATGCCTTGCCTGCCAGCATCTTACACCCTGCTGTTATGTGCTGGATTGTCTCTGGAGCATCTTTACACAGCCTGCACCTGGGGTCTTGCTTGGTGTGATAGACCCCAGCCTCAATGGATCTTGTGCTAAGTGCTTGTTCCTATGCTGACATGATTAGTGCTTCCATGCTGTCTTTCAGTCCAGCTTTGTCCAGCCACTGGTAGGATTTCTGGATA